CAGTTTTTGACCTTCATAGCCCCTCCACTCACACACAGCCGCTCACAGCTCTCGTCGTCTCAGTTTTAATTTAGTTTTAAGCCTCCGCAGGAAAGATGCCCCACAGATGCAAAGGTCATTGTTGTTGCTGGAGTGCTGCTGCTGCTGCTGCTGTTGCTTCTGTTGCTGTTGCTGTTTTTGTTGTTGTGGAAGTTTTCAAAGTTTTCCATAAAGTTAAGTGGCAAACATTTTTGGCGCTGTCGAAAACAACAAAGAAACTAATTGACTTGGATTAACGCTTTCCCTGTCTGCGGGTCGATGGATGGATGGATGGGCTGGTATGGGATGGGATCGGTGGCCCGATTTCTACACATAAATCTCTCAGCAGCGCAAACTTTGGACACGAGACAATTTTGTCTCAAGGTTGTCGCGCTGGGCGGGCCAAGTGCTGTGCTGTGGTGTGTGGTGTGGTGTGGTGTTTGGGGGCGCAAAATCTAGTTTGTTGGCCTTGCTAGTTTTCTTCTCCCCATATATAGCGCAATGTGTGTGTCTGCCGATTGAAGCGATTGAAATGGCGAGTGAGACGGAGATGGAGCTCCACGACTGAGCTTTAACTCTGGCTAAAAGTAAAATCAATAGGCAAACGAGCTCACTGGCCACGCCCACCCACACACCCACAAACCACTGGCAATGGGTTGACGCCCTCCTCAGCGTTGTTGGCAGTGTCTTCCGCTGATTCCAGCAAACGTTGGCAAAAATTTATTGTGTGTGAAAATGTGTTGACTTCACTCAAAAGTTGCTCCGCTTTGCCCCGATTCCAACTTGGATTTATGTATATATATCCGCTTGCCCCCCACTTTCTCTCTCTGTCTATCTCTCTCTCTCTCTTTGGGTCTGTTGTTTGGTCAAGATATCGTGCGTATCGCTTTTATGGCTCCCCAAATAACCCAGAGAGACTTCCATGCCATGCCATCCTCTCGGTACACACTGCATTCGCATTTTGCTCAGATTTATTGCCCGCCTTTGATGTACTTACTTACCATCCTTTGAATGTCCCTGCTGCTGCTGCTGCTGCTGCTGACTTGGCACAACGCAAAAATTCTTAAAGGCTGAGACGGAGCAGAGATATACTTACACACCCGTTTGTATGTATATATATGTATATCGTCAGCGATTTCCATCAAATGAATGATGAAAAATAATGGTAAACTTCAGCTGGGGGCTAAACTGTCGCCCGTTTGGCTATTAAAAATCACTTTGAGCATTCGGGCGCAAGGCAACAATTCACTCATGACCGAAAAATAAAAAAAAAAAATTATGATAAATTGTAGTTTAATCTGTGGAAAATTATGCAAATGCTAAAAAATGAAACGATAAAGGGAAACGGGAACAGAAAATAGCCGAATGTGGCATGCACTTATTTTATTTTATGTTTATTTTATTTATTTTGATTTTTTATTTGGGGCCGTTTATTTATTTTGAAATTTTTCCTAGTGCTAAAATAAAACGTTATTTTTAATGCACTAGGCGCAGATTTTCAGAGGCAAATTTCATGCTTGCCAACACGCAAATGCCCTGCCTGCTAGAGGGTATATGCAAACCCTTTGCCACACCCACCGGAAAGCCGGGGTAAATGTCAGCAGCAACCCAAGTAAAAAATAGAAATGTGGAAAATGTCAGCGGCCTGTGCAGAAAAAAAAGGGTTTTGCCCCCAGAGAGACAGCGAGAGCGAAGCCGCCGCTTCAACATTTCATTTATCATTCTGAATTGATGTAAATGTAATGAAAATTGGATTATGCCGTCGTAATCATTAGGCTCGTGCCTGGGTCCGTACGTTAACCCTATTTATAATTATTTTCACTGCCAAAAAAAAAAAAAAAAAGGGAGAACCAAAAGCGAATAAGAACCGAATTTAAAGCCTGTCAACTTTAGTTGTCCGCGAAGTTTGTTTTTTTTCTGGGTTTAGATCTTAAAGGGGGAAGGTAACATATTTTGTTGATTTATGGGGCCAGGCGCTGTCGTCGCGGTCTGTCAATAAATCACGCCCCCCCCTCATCATTTGCAAAGGACTAAGAAGTATAACGAACAAAAAAACCGAATGGCCGGGGCGCGCGAATCTAATTGTAAAGTTTTCCAAAGTGGGACAAGAATTAGGAAAGTCCGGACAAGCCGCGGGCGTCATTATCAGCGCCACGGGGGTTGCCAGTACCAGAAGGCAGAACCAGAACCAGAAGCAGAACCAGTAGGCAGAACCAGAACCCAGGGCGGCTCTCTCCATGAAAAACCGCGACCTGACCACGATATGCCAAAACCACAAATCCCCTTTTCCATCACAATCACCCGATATCAGACCCCGCCACCCCCCCACGCCTTTTGGGCCGCCTGTCCAACACACTCACACACAGGCAGCCGCAACGTACCACCACATTCTCCGAAAACACATTCCACGCCCACGCCCAAGCCCAAGCCCACGCCCAAGCCCACTTTCACTTTTGGCTTTCTTCTGGGGCCCTTTCGGGGGCCCCTTGGGGCTGGGTACTTGCGCCCGTTCCTTGGCCGTTCTTTGGTCCAATTTTAAAGCCATAAATTTGATGGGTTTTTGAGCGTTTAAAGTGTTGCCGGCAATGTCGAATATTTGATATAACAATTATATAAATGCCGTAGCCGTATGCCGTATGCCTTATGCATCAGTAGACAAGCCAAAGTGGAAGCCCAAGCCGAAGCCGAGGCCAGGGCCATGCCAAGCGAGCAGCAAAAGGGAGCAGTCAAGGCAGAGGCAGGGCAGGGCAGGGCGGGCGCCCCTTCTTAGTCGCAGTCTCAAGGAGAGATAATAGCTGCGGGCCAAAGAAAAACATTGCCAATTCCTTTCCAAAATTTTTATTATGTCTTATAAGTCCATCAATGAGGGGGAATGGTTAGAGGATGGCAGGGAATGGCAGGGAATGTTAGGGAATGGCAGTGAAGGGCAGGGAATGGCAGGCAATGGCAGGGAATGTGTGTGGAGTGTAGGGATAAGCACAGTTCAGGGCTGGTCACATGATTAAGTGAATCTGATCGACAAGGAATGTTCTCCCAAAGATAAGTTTCAGATTTCCTTGAGGGTTCTCCATTATTAGCTCTGGCTTATTATTGGAAAGTTCAACAGCCAAAAAGGGATGCTCCCTGCCTCGCCTGTCACGCAGTATTTTGCTCGTTGCTCCCAAATCGTTTTGCCAGCCCTGACAACGAGCCTCTCAGAGTGCGTTGGCCGTATCCTTGGCGGCCGCCAACGCCGCCATCGCCGCCTGCTAAAAATGCGCAGCACAACAAAATCCCCAAATCCCCGCTAGCAAATTTATTTTAATTCACTTTTTGGACGTTGCCTGTCGCTCGTTTTGCGTTTTGCTTTTGCGTTTTGCGTTCTGTTCCGTTTGGTTTTTCCTTATATTTGGTTTTTGGCATTGCCAATTTCCTGTGCACCAGCAAATGCTGTCCAGTGCCCTGCTGCTGCTGCTCTGCCTACTATGTCCACGTCTTGGCTCTGACACTTGGCGACATTGAAATGAGGCACTTTAGGCAAATACTACGGCCCAGGCAGGGCCCAGGGGCCCACAGACCGGTCGCTGGGTCAGTCACTGGGGGATAACGGATAGCAGGCAGCTGTGCGGCGGCGGTTGGGCGGTTGGGTGGGTGGGTGGGTAACGTAAAGCAAACAACGAACTAAACACCAAAAACAGAAGTCGTCACTGTTATCAAATGTATTTTTATGCTCTTTTGATTTTTATGACCCTGGCGGCGGCACAGCAACGGAAACAGTGGACCAAGAGCTGTCCTCCAGCGGCTGTCGCAGGACACTTGATAAGTGGTCTGGGGAATAGGCCTAAGCAGGACCATGAGCTGTGTGGGCCCCCGCCCCCATGACGATGATGTTGTAGGCCGCTTATAACCTCAGTGTGGCAGGGGCGGGCCCAAATACGAATAGTTTTCGCTCGGCTATGGCTACTTAAAATTAAACAAATTACTGCCACAAACGGAGGCAGGGACAGAGGTACGAAGGGCAACTGTTTATCCGAGTGTTGTCGTCGAATTGTCCGCGCGGCATCGCTCGTTGTCAGCGTTGTTTTGTCAGGGGGATATATCCTGCCAAATTCATGTTGGCAGGCGCGTGCTGGAATTAAATGTGCCGTGAAATAAATCCAAAGGCACAACGACACAGCCAGAAGAGACAACGTTTTTGGCCCCGACAAAACTCACTGCCAAATGTCCTTCACAGCGGATGAATCCCTCCTGTCTTGTCTGTCTCTTTATGTGTGTGTGTGTGTGTGTGTATCATTAATAGAAACAAAAAGTGAATTGAATCCGAACTGAAGTCTGAAGCTGCTGGGCAGAAATTGGTAACAAGCGGACCACGACCCCTGTGGCGCGGGGGTTGGGGATGGAAACAAAAGATGTTGTTCGTACAAGCAAAATAACAATTATGGCCGGACCGCTCTTTAATGGGGATTAAATTTATAGAAATAATTCGAGCAGAGTCCAGATGGGATGCTTAAGGAGAGAGCGGGCAGGGTGGTAGGGAGGGAGGAGGGTGATGGTTGGGTGGTGCCGAAATATAATACATTTTAATGCCCAGAAATAATAATCATTGAGAAAACAACATTGATCTGCCCTCGAGAGGGATTGTTTCAATGGGGGCGATATTATCCATCGTGTGGGCCGTAGACGGAGACGAGTGCTTAGGCTTGAACATGAATGGAAGTGGGGCGGGGGGCAGCACATAAAGGTTAAGTAAGAGCAGCCCCGCAGGCGTAGATGTCGCTAAACATTTGCGACCTCAATAATAATCTCAAACAAAGAGAAATAAAATCTATGCAACCAGAGAGATAACTGCACGTACGAATAATCAGCTGAGCTGATTGTCAAAGGATTCAATAGCAATGATCAAAGCAAAAGCATTTAGCACACACACACACATTTTGTTGTTATACCTTTCATTGGCTATCGTTTAAAGTTAATCTACTGTCAACTTATAATTATGCTTTCAGGCATGCACAATAACTCCAGAACCCCGAATGAGTGGACAATCTGCTGACCAATCAGCAGGAAAAGGAAAAGTGGTTCATTAATTGAATGGGGAATTACAAGAAAGTCAGCGATAAGTTGTCTAGCCAACCACCGGGAGCACACTCAGGCACACTCCAGCCACTCCAGCCACTCGAACAATCAACCACTCAACTTACCGTGTGGGAGTTGGGGTCCGAGACCGAGACCGAGTCGGAGACAAACCGCATTTCTTCGAGCAGCAGCAGCAGCAGCAGCAGCAGCTGTGTGGGTATCCTGGCAACAAATGGTAAGGAATTTACGGGGCCCAAAAGCAAAGCACAAGCACAAAACATTTTCCCACACTTAGCTCTGTGTGTGTTTGGGTGTCTGTCTGGGTACCGCCACTGCCTTATTTATCTCAACACAAAGATGACATTTGTGTTGAAACAGGCAAATTAGTATTTATTGCTTTTTGCTGCTGCTGCTGACATATTATTTTATTTGTTTAATTAATTTACCAAAAAATGACCACAAAGCAAAATCAACAAAACAGCCCTGTCCGTACATTTTCTTTTCCTTTATTTGCCTTTCGTTTCCTGCCACTTTCTCTGCCTCTTCCTTTGCCTCCTACCCCCGGCAATAAATAAGCAACAGATAACCGAAAAAGACAATTAAAGGAGAGCCAAAAACTTTGTGGCTCGTAAATTTCCGGGACCATAGTTTGAGTTGATTTAATGGCTGGCTTCTGCTTTTGCTTGCGCTCCTTCTCCTTAGCATTTTCCTGGACACACACACATCACTACGCACAGCATGTCCACATAATTAAATCAACTAAATATTTAACGGGCATTTGTCTGGCGTCTCCACATCGTCCTTCATCCATCGTCTTGGATTTTTATTGCATTGCTGCCCTCCCCCATAAATTAACAATGGCAAGTAAATCATGTGGTGATGTTCACTCCCTCGCTCCATCCACATCCCCCTTTGCCTTCTCTCTCTCTCTCTCTCTCTGGCTCGATGTCTGGTTTCTGGTTTTGTTTCTCGATAATAATTAATTGTTGATGGGTAAAAATGCTTTAAGATGGACAGCCGGCATGAACATTTAATGCGAATAAAAGGGCAAGAAAAGTTTGCTTGGGGATAACTAGAAGTGGGCAGAATATTGCATGGATTTAGTGTAAATTTGCATTTAAATTTTAGATCAAGACTCAATGAACTACAAAGGGAGAATTACTATACTGGAAACCTTTCTATAAGAATTTTCTAATCTTTTCTTAGCATTTAATGTGCAAATTCGTAATACAAAAAAGTGTAGCATATTTTTTTGGGGGTTCACTCAGCAAATAAAAAATCTCCAAACAAAAAAGTATCCCTCATTTTGGGTATTCGTTCCAGCTGAAAATGAGCATGTTATATGTGGGCGTTACAGCAGCTAGCACCACTGGGCGTGGCCACTGGGGAGCAGCAACTTGCAACTTTGTCGGTTTATGGGTCACAACCGTTTGACTGCATTCATGGATGGCCTCGTCGTTGGTCGTCGGTTGTTGGTCGTCGGTCGTCAGTTTGTTTGTAGCTCGTTCTTATTGTTATGGCTAGTGTTTCTTACGGCTTCATGTTGTCCATAATAAAGCAAACATATGACAAGCCAGAGGACAACAGAACGAGAGTGGGGGAGAATTCTTGAGAGAATCCAAAATGTTTAACCCTGCAGGCGAACCGGAGACGAGCAGCCAATAAAGTCAGCGGAAGCTGAGAAAAGTCATGAAAAATGTTGCCAAAAAAAAAAAAAGAAACAACAAAAACAAAAACAAGGAAAAGAAAAAGGAGAAAAATGCGGATAGGGAATGCCACAACGAGGCGGGGGAATGTATGAGTATCTCTGTGTTATTATTATTTTTACTGCAAGGCATTCGCATAAAGGACATAATCATATTTTTCATCAAAGTCAGCAACAGCGATAAAAACTACAGGCACAAACACACACACACACACACACACACACACACACACACAGACAGATACACATACAGATACACACATGAGTGAATGACGGTTCTCTATATATGCCCGCCCTAGCCAGCTCTTTCTTTTACTCTCTGTGGGGCTCAGTCGGAGCATATCTATTCTGCAGTTGCTGTCAACATTTTTCATATCATAAACACTTTTAGTGTTGATATTACCAACAATAACTTTTCCCCTCACTCACACTCACACACACACACGTCCGCATCCGCATCCGTATCTGGGAGGCGATACATATATAGCAGACACGCCCACCCGTCGTGCTGCGGCAAAGGTTCATCCTTTTCCTTCACGATTTTTGTTTTTTTTTTTTTCGTGGCTTTTTCTGACATGAACAAAACCCAGCGAAAAATGTTGGCAAGCTCTTTAAGGTATGAGGCCTTGATTTGATAGAGAATCAGAAATATCACAAATATCACACAATGCAATACGAAGAATCCCCCTGCGCTCCCTTATCACCTGACTTTCATTTGAGAATTAAAGAAAATTCCTCTAGCAAACATTTTTTAATGCAATCCTCAGGCTGATATTTTGACATCCTTCCTGCGATCACAGGGCACAGTTGACCATGCATTTGAGATATGTTTTGTAGGCCATCTCATTGCACGTCAAATCGCGTTCGCAATTTTCCGTAAATGTATTAAAGTACCAGCGCGGCATATAACAGTCTTTTCTTTCGTATGCGGGCTTACGACATTGCGCTGGCAAGTTCATGCTATCGGGTATCGCTGAAGCTTCTTTTCGAAATTAAAATAAAAATAATAAATAAAAATAAATGTATGCTTTTTTTGTTTGATAATTACGCTCAACGAAGAACCAAGCAAACAGCAGAAGGGAAATTATCACAGCACTCAGTGCGCCCGAAATTATTTGACATTTGTACTTCTGCATATTGGACGGAAACTAAAGAAATGTTTTACAGACTTAAGGGAGTATTTGTTTTAATTACTAGAGTGTGGAACGTATTCGATTAGCAATGGAGTGGAAATGCTGCAAATTAATTCGCTAAGCAAAATCATTTGGAATGCATTTGGTTAAGGTAGTGCCATATATTTCAGATTTAATGGACAGCAATCTCAAAGCAGAGCAGAGTGGAGCAGAGCGGAGAGCTCTGACGCTTATCCGTGTGCCTTAAGATAAGTAATTGAGTAATATGCAAGCAAGTTGCAAAAGAGTTGGTATGGCAGGTGCAAAGGAATTGTAGGAAGGCGGCTGGCAGGCTCTTACTGGCTGGCTATACTTGAACCTTTTTATTTTTGTACTTTTTATTTTTGTACATTTTATTTTTGCCGGGTTCTTCACGTGCTGTGCCATGCGGTTACTTTATTTTTCATTGGTGTTTGTCTTTGCCGCAGTTTTGATGCTCTTTTTTGTGGGTTCATAGGAAATTATGAGAATTACCAAAGAGCTCAAAGCCCCTTCCAGCAATCATTGTTCCAGAGCTTAATTTTCTGCTATTTAGAGAGCATCAAAACTTCGGCCAACGCCCAGTGCTTTCCAGCTGTGTTTAGCCTTCTCTTTTAGTGTTTCTTCTTTATAATTTTTTTTGGTGCTTTTCGCATTCGGAGGTTTTAGAGAGATAATTACGAAAAATGTTTTGCGTGCCGCGTTCATTGCGCGATGGGCCAGGCATAATTATGACTCCTGCTGGGGTTTACCCGCGCCACGCCCCGCCCCGCACCATGTTGCACGAATGAGCGGTGGTGGTGGGGTGTGCTACGTATTCCACACTTTTCACTGTTGAAGAATAATTTTTTTGTGCTGCTGGTTTTGTTCCATTTCATTTCGTTTCGTTTCGTTTCGCCGCTTGCTTTTTATGTATGGCGCGTGTGTTTTGTGTTGAATTTTTGTAGCTTCATTCCGACAAACAGGCCACGTAGATAAGACATTAAAAAGTAACAGATACCACAGAAGGAAACAAACCAAAAAACAAAAAAAAAAAACAAAAAAAACTCTTACCAAAAAGTCGAAAAGAATAAAGAAAATGGGAAGTGAAAGGAGCGTGCAAAAGCAAAGAGTTGAGAGGATAATGTGCAGGACAATTGGTTACCTTCTTAGCGCAGGTTCAATTGTGGGCATACCAAAGGTTTATGGAAAATTTTCAATTTGCTATGCAAATAGCTTTGCGAGGGAGCAGCAGGGACACATTGCACATTGATCTGGGCATCGGGGTATAGGGAGGATGGGCAAACACATGTTGCTGCTTGGCCCCAGAGCAAGCCCTTCGCTGTCCCCAGTCCCCAAACTAAGTGCATTTTTTCCCATTCGAAAGTTTCTGTGTGTCTGTCTGCCATTCCACTTTATGTTGCAGTTTAGAGACTCCATTTCTATCCATGTATCCATGGCACTCCATGGCACTCCGCTCCGCTCCGGTTATGGCCATACCTTTGATGGCTTGCCAAACAGTTGGAATATGATTTTTGCAATTTTCGCATGAACTCAACCAAAAAATTAAACTCGACTCCTGCCCCGCCCCACCCTGCTGCCCTGCCCCGCCCTGTCCTTCCCTGCCCTGCCCTGCTGCAGAAATTGTAAACTTTTTAATACGTTCTGGGGGCAAGCAGCACTTCGGCCGGGACTCCCCCGCGTGGCAGTTGCGCCTGTCATGCTTGTCAATCTCTCTGCGGCAGTCAATAGAAAAAAAAATATATGTATATGGGAATCTCTCTTGCTTCAAATTCCAGCTCCCCAAACCCCATTGAGATTCGTTGTTTCTTTTTGCATTAAAAAACTTTTTTAGCTTGCGAAATATTTGAAAATTATTTTAATTAAGGCATTTTAATTAACACATGCACACACACACACACACACACACCGGCAATCTAACACACGCACATATCACACTCTCACCAGTTGCTGTTGTCGATTTATTTTTGTATTTTTTTTTTTTTTGTATTTTTGTCGCATAAATTGTTCGGGGAGCAGCAGCTCCGCTCCGCTTGGCAACATCTCACATAGCCCTAGCCGCATGTTGACACAGAATTTAAATTTATTTTTCTTGTTGTTTGCGTGATTATTTTTTACGGCCCATTCAAACAAATTGGGGGACGGGGTATATGCATTCGCCGTGGCTGTTTGTCCAGGCTGACGGATGTCAAATAAAACAAAAACACACTCGCCTCACTATAAGAAAGGACAGCTTTTCTTGAGTAGAGCTCTGCTGATGGATTGTGGTAATTTTTAGAGGGTAGT